TATATATATATATTATTTCTGAAGATCTGTTTCAGCTTTTATGATTTGAGGGAAATATTTGATTGGAGTGCAGGTTTACTCCTGGATTTGTCTCTTAATTTTTTCCCATAAATGACCTTGAGAGAGTATTTATTAAAATTCATATTTATTGTTTGAGATGAATGCTCATCAACGGCACAGTTTTTCTGTTCAAAAAAGAACTTTAGAAGTTCCATCACAAAGGTGTACTTCTTCTTTTGTCCAAAAGAGGGCAAACTGAGCATGTGCAAAAAGTAGCTGCCAGGTCCTTCCTTTCAATAAAATGAACCCTCTACATATTTCATCCAATTCCAAGTAACACACCTGTTTCTAAATTGGTTTATAGCCACCACAAGTATTGTTAGATTCAAATGAGCATCCAAGTCTCTAAGTTTACAACATTTAATCAGCTACAGTTACCGTTTTATTTCTTTCACTGCAACAGTTAAGGTTAGATTAATGGTACCAAAAGCCAAATGTGACACTAATAGTTTTATATTATTGTTTCTTTGCGATATATTTGTTGTCCAGATGTTGCTGTTGTGGAGAGATTATTTTTGAAGATGTATATTTCATTCATCACCAACAGCTGATAGCTTGACTGTTGGTGTCAGAGATTCAGTCACTGGCTGAAAGTTAATATATACAGTAGGAAAAAATCTAGTGCCTGTGCAATGATAGAAATACTTGAATGTCCGGTTTCATAGCGGAAAGGCTTAAACTCCTCCCGGGTACGAGCTATAGATAAGACACAGAGGTCTACATACAGTATATGTGTGTGCTGACTCCATCTGTTTTATTAGTTTCCATAGTCCTGTGTCTGGTCAGTACAGTGCGCATGGACGTATGGGTGGATCCACGGAGAACCTTTAGGCGATGTGTTCTTTTTATTCAACTCATTGTTTCTGTGGATTTTATTTTTCATTTCTTTGCATCATGGTAAAAGTGCAATAAAACTAAATGAGCAGAATATTACAGTGCTTCTGGGTTTTCTTCCGGAGTATCAGAATGTATGTGTTTCATATGTCTGTTTTAATATTTAAGAGATGATTTGTCTTCATTATCATGGAACACAGCCTACATGTTCAGTATGTATTTCAACAGCATCTCGTGATATGAAACCCGAGTCTCAGAAAGCATTCCTCATGTCAAATGGAACCTGCACTTATTCATCCATTTGGAATGACACTTTTCTGAAAATTTACACAAAATGTTTCTGGAAAAGTTCCTGCTTATTAAGTACAGACCGGGAGCTGGGTTAACACAGCATAAACAGCCAGTCTGGCTCTGTCCTCAGCTAAAACATATGCCTACATCAGCTCTAGATGATGGTAGGCATATGTGTGCCGGTGAAGTATCTTGAGCTTCAGGGCCTTTCCTCCAGATAATTTTAAGACATATTAATAAAAATATTTCTTAAATGACATAAATATTAAAATATTTAGATTTCAGTTTAATCACAAGATATTAGATGTGTCCTACTTAACTTTTAATCCATACTCGGTGTATGTGAACTGCAGGCTTCATGTTTCCACAGCAAACACTGAACCATGATTGAACAACGCAGGTTTTAAGTTTGATGAAATCAGAATGTCAATGTCATATTTTTTGATTACTGGAATTAAAATTCTGATGAAATGCATCATCCACAAAAACTGGAACTGAGAGACACTCATGTAAATTAGAGTCCCTGTCATCCAGCAATGATGGGAAATGATTCAAATTCTAATGGGATTTAATTAGCAGTTCTGGGACTCTGGGCATAAGCATACAGCAGCAATGTTTTAATTTTTTGTGACATTAATGAATCAGCTAAGATCAAATACTCAAAGTCATTCTGTTGTGAAAAATGCAGCACAATCACAGGTAACGCCAATCAAGAACACCAACACCATAAGCCAGGATGGTTGGAGCTGTGTAGAAAAAATACCCAAATGAACACAGGCCTGTTCTGGAGGTCTTTATCTGTAGAACTCCGCACAACCCAGTGTAATGTGACAGTGAATGGTTGCAGCGAGGATGGCTGCACAAAACAGTGCAAAAGAAAATGGCCCTCAGCCCCAGCTCTGTGCATGTTTACAGTTCCCATTGCATTGGTGTGTTTTGATAACCTTTCCTCACAGAACAGCCCACGGAAAAGTTACTTGTTTGGTTTACATAAATGCATGCATGTACAGTACACACACACGGGCAGACTGAGCGATGAATGGAGGAAGCCGTGTCTGAGACAACCATCGGGGTGGAAGAGAGTGACCAGAGAAGAACTAAGAGCTGTAATAGCTGTGGCCAGCTGCAGACAGGACGACAGAGGAAGCCTCGTCATGGGAGTGAGCCATGAAGTGCTTATCAGATCTCAAGTTCAAACCAACCTGATCTGGTGACCCCACCCTCTCTTGTCTGGGGGCTGGTAGTTCACCTGTATGAAGTCTTTCTAATGCTGTGGTAGCAATTGGTTTAACAACATCAGTTTTGTTGCTTTGTGGAAAATAACTGAATATGGCAACCTAGTGATGTCTTGCCTTGCCTTTAATTAAATTAAAAATTACATAGAAAGATTACTTCATGAAAAACTATAGATCACTTATTAGCCACAGTCTACAAACACTAGACAATGCCACACAAGAGGCATGAACTGAATAGTTGATATTGTCTCCTCCTAAATCTTGGGTGAATTGGTTGCTCCCATCTGCACTGTAAAAATAATAACAACAATAATAATACTGTAATTCCTGTCTTTTCGACATGGAAATCCATCCATTATCTACACTGCTTATCCGGAATAGGGTGGCAGGGGGTCTGGAGCCTATCCCAGCTGGCATTGGGTGAGAGGTGGGGTACACTCTGGACAGGCAACATGGAAATTTTAATACAATTACAAAAATAGACAGTGAAATTACAAGGTGAAACATACAGGAATTGCTCACTCTGACTGGCAATTTAGAGTTGCTAGTCAACCCAAGCTACATGTCTTACCTGGAGTAAGAGTGCCTGGAGAGAACCCACGCAGGCACAGGGAGAACATGCAAACTCCACACAGAAAGGCCGCAGTCGGCTGGGGCTCGAACATTGACCTTTTAGCTGCTTCATATGCTATCAGAAATAAACATAGCATTGCTTTAATGTCTTTGTGTTACACCAGTATAATGCCTATAGGCTGCTCCTTCACCAGCAGGGCCACACAAAGAGGTTTGGTAGACCTCAGGCTGTTTTCCCAGCCTCTGTCGCCTCACGGGAGGGGTCCAATTGCCCCATTAAGAGACTTTCAAAATACACATCCCCCTGTTTAATAGACACGGAAACCATTTATGTCCATTATAGAGCATTATAGATAGCATCTACAAAACTTCCCGTTGTTGGTAAAATGTCTGCCAGAATGGACACACACACACACACCCCAAAGAGTTAACGGAGAGAAAAAGACAACAAAGATGCAAAGGATCTTGTTTGCTGGTTTGGAGTTCACTGTTTTAAGTACAGTTACAGAGATTAGACTATTTAAAAAAAGCAAAGTAAAACCCTAAGGCAGCCTACAAGGCCAGCGGACCACCCAGAATCCTGCTGGAGGAGGAGGAGCAGCAGGGCTGCTACTGTGAGACCATCCGGACTGGGTCAGTTTATCTGAGATGAAATTAAAGGGCACTCCAGTGACTTTACAAGTGAACTCGATTGGTCATATACTGCTCAGTTGTTGTATAATGGCTTAAGTGGCCCTGGAGAGGTCTGAGGAAATGATTCCAGAGACAATCAAGTAATCTCAGGTAGTATAAATATGCTAGACTAGAACAATACTTTAATACCTGGCTGAACTCAACTGGTACAGCTGAATTTAAGACCCTAACCCAACTGAAGAGAAAAAGAGGAATTGCTTAACAAATTACACTTAAACATTAAGATTTACACAGAAAACAAATTAAAGTCTAGTAACAGGATTCTAGGGTAGTTTTGTTAAAAATGTACATTTACTAAGTAAGGATTTTTTTTTTTATTAAGGATGCTATCAAACGACACTATGGATTGATTGATTGATTTATTCTTTCAAGCATGTAAAGATAGTTGATATATCAACACATAATTTCACACATATCCACAAATGCTAATCCATTATCAATGTGCTTATACCTAGTACATGCTTGAATGGAGTAGGAAGAAGTCAGACTTATCCAGTCCTACCCCATGACATCATCTTACCATCATTGGTTTGCAAGCAGTAAATGATTCACTTCTACACCACACAAGTAATATACTAAAGAATTATTACA